ATGGGGTGTCTGTGCTAGCTTCTCTGTTTTTGTGCAAATCTAAAATTGTTCTAAAAAATAAAGTCTAAAAATTCCTAAGAAAGAAATCTCTAGGCCTAGATGGTTCCACTAGAGAATTTTACCAGACAGTTAAAAAACGAATACACCAATTCCACACAATCTCTTCTAAAAATAAGATGGAACACTTTCCAACTCATTTTATAACCCAACCTGAAAGTGCAACCGAAGACAGCACTGAAAATGAAAACCACAGACCTATATCTCTAATGAATTTAGATGCGAAATCCTCAACAAAACTCCATCAAACATAACCCAGTAGATAGAAAGAATAATTCACTCTAAGTGGATTTATTCCAGGCACGCAAGATTGATTCAATATTGAAAATCAATCAGCGTGATTCATCTCAGCAACAGGCAAAAGAGGACAAATGTCATGATCATATCGAATGTGGGGAAGACGCTTCGGACAAGGTTCACACCCCACTCAGGATAGATAAAAAAATCTCAGGTAACTAGGAACAGAGGGGAACTTTCTCAAATAAAGAGCATCTACCAAAAATTCTCAGCAATTAACATCACGAGAGACTGAACGTCCTCCCTTAGGATCAGGAACTCCGTGTGGTGACACCCACTCTCCCTCAGCACAGCCCAGGAAGTTCCAGCCAGAGCAACGGGGCAAGAGAAGGAACTGGGAGCGTACAAGTTGGAAAGGAAGAAATAAAAATATCTCTATTTACAGATGACATAATTATATAGAAATTCCCAAGTGTCCAAAAATAAAACTCGTAGTAGTAGTAAGTGGGTTCAGTAGGCTCAGGGGACACGAGATCAAATACAAAAACCAGGGGCATTTCTACACACCAACAATGAACAGGGGAAATCTCAAGAAAAAAATGCAAGAGAATTTAAAATTTCTCCAAAGAAATGAACTCAACGTAACCCTCATATCTATACAAGTGCTAATTCGAAAAGAATCATGGGCCTAAATGTCAAATGTAAAACTATAAAACTTCTAGAAAAAATTGATAAAATCTTTGGGACTTACGATGAGGCAAAGCATTCTTAATTTGACACCAAAAGCAAAATTCTACAAAAAATTAAATTGGACTTTGTAAAAATTTTAAATCTTTGCTCTGTGAAAGAATTGTGAAAATATACACTGAGGGGAAGTATTTGCAAATCACATATTCAACACTAGACTTGCATTCAAAGTATTAAAAAAAAAAAAAACTCCCAAAAACGCAACATGAAAAAATACTCAATTAGAAAATGGGCTCGCATAGTCATTTCACCAAAAAGGACATACAGCTGTGTCACGTAAGGATGTGAAAACTTGTTCCCCTTCATTAGCCGTTTAAGTGTAAACTAGAAACACGGTAAGAGCTCACTACAGAACTACCAGGATGGCTTTTTAAAAAAATTAGTGAGAAGCCGAGAAACTAAATCCCAAACATGTTGCTGGTAGGAATGTAAGCAGGATAGCCACAGCCGCTCTAAATAACGTGGCCTTTCCAACCCTAAAACCAGAATTGCCGTGTGACTCAGTGGCTGCCTGTGGGGCACTGACCCCGGAGCAACAAAACTCATTTTCACACAGAAACGTGTGCTCTGGTATTTACAGCAGCTTGACTCACGGTGGCCAGACACTGGGAATTCCTGAACGCCTGTCCGTGGTCCACCGCCAAACTGTGGTGCGCCCGCGCGGGACCCTACTCAGCAACGAGGAAGGACAGAGTCATTGATCCACACAAAACCGCCGGAGGAACGAACCTCAAGGAAATGATGCGGAATGGAAAAGCAATCTCCGACAGACACGTATCGCAGGGCCCCACGGATAGACCCTTTCTGAAACAACAGAGACGAAGAACAGGTCAGTGGGTTCGCTGAGAGGGGGGGTGCCTGGAAACGGGCAGCACCGGGGGTGGGCGTGATTGCTGGGCACTCGCCGGAACGACCACAGTGGCCGACGGCGCGTTACACGGACACACACACGAGAACGTGCGCGGCCCGTGAGAGCCGAGACAGCTCTGGGCATGGCCCGCGTGCGGACTTCCCGTGTTCACAGTCTGGGACTCCACAAGTACGCCGGTGAGAGTGATCTCGGGCAAGTCCTTCGGAGGACGTGCATTTCCACTGCTCGGAGCAAGGACCTAGGAGCGGACCGGTGGGGTCGTGCGGTCCGAGCGCAGTGACTCCTAGGAAGGACCCAGCCTGCTTCCCGACGTGGCTCTACGACTGGGGGCTTCAGTTCCTCCACACACTCTCCACTCATAAATTTCTAGGAAACGCAGACTAACATACAGTGGCAGAAAGCAAGTGGCGGCCGCCTGGAGAGGAGGAACCTTCCGGGGGGAAGGAAACACACATTCTGTTCATTGTGGTATCAGATTCTCCGTGTGTGCGTGTCAACACCGGTCAGTCCGCACTCTTCAGGTATGCGCTATTTGTTACACGCCATTTACACCTTGACAACGCTGGTTTTAAAGACAGAGTATCCCTCACAAAGAAAACCCTGTGCCCAGAGCCCACAGAATCGGCAACATGTGTAAAGCACAATAATGGTGCCCACGCCGACTTCTGCCCAGGACTGCAGAGCTGGTCTGCCGTTAGGAACGCCACCGCCGGGGCGCCAGGGGCTCAGTCGTTAAGCATCTGCCTTAGGCTCAGGTCATGATCCCAGGGTCCTGGGATCGAGCCCTGCATCGGGCTCCCTGCTCTGCAGGGAACCTGCTTCTCCCTCTCCCACTCCCCCTGCTTGTGTTCCTTCTCTCCCTGTGTCTCTCTCTCTCTCTGGCAAATAAATAAATAAATAAAACCAAAAAAGAAAGAAAGAAAGAGAATCCACCATTATAATTTGCCACACTGAAATACTGAGGGAGAAAATGTATATTATCCTCTTAAGAGAGGCAAAATTTTTTATATTAAAAAATGTATTGCGTTTAATAAATACTTTGCAAACTAGAAGTAGCAGGGAAGTCCCTTAATCTGATAGCAAGCATCAAACCACAACCCACAGCAGGTCTCCTGCTCCCCAAAACCAGGTCAGGGACCAGAGACAGCACAGGACTGCCCTCCCCACTTTGAGTGGCTCCGCCCTGCCCTGGGGGCCTTCACCAGTGCAGTGGGTTATGAGAAGAAAGTCCTTAGGACTAGAAATGAGGGCAAAGCCCTAATGGCCCACAGACGATGCCACCGGGAATGAAAGGAATCCAGAAGAACCCGCAGAGAAGTGAGCAGGATTCATGACAGTTTGGCAAGCTCACGGGCACAGTTAAGAAACAAAAGCAACAAGCAGAAAAGGGAATCTTTTTAAAAAGCTCCAGTTTAAAAAGCAACAAAAATATTAAATATCTAATTTAATATTCTATTAAATATTAATACTTCAATATCTAATGAAAGACGTGGAACCCTTTACACGGAAAACAAACATCACAGCAAAGTTTGAGGAAGAAAAATACACCCAGTTTATAGGTCAGAAGGCTCAATCTTGCAAAGACATAAAATTTCCCCAAATTAACTACTGAAGGAGGGAGGCTAACCCTGACAAGTGACTCTAAAATTTACCTGGAACCCCGCATGGGCGGGAGCACCAGCCCAGTCCGCTAGGGCAGGACCCCGCCGCCCCCGCCGGATTAGCAGTAACACAGTTGTAGGGGACACCCACCAGCCAGCCAGTGTGGACCGAAGCAGAGGGCACGGTCAGGAGCGGGCTCTCTACTTCTCCAGGGCCAGTGGCTGGTGGGGAGTCCTCCTGCCCAGCTCACAGGGGCACTAGGGTGGGCAAGAAGTAGGGTGAGGACACGCAGGTGCCACTCCCAGGGGGTAGCGGGGTGGGGGGCTGCAGGGCTGGGGCTTCCTCCCCTTTGGTTTCTAAGACAGGAGGCTGGGACCTGCGTCATTGCTGCTGTTAGGAAAGGTGGAAAGAAAGAAGGTGGAGACCCAGCAGCAAAGGCCAGGCAGGGGTCCAGAACTCAGCACAGCCTGGAGCCGGAAAGCCCCCAGGATGCGTGTGGATAAAGATAAGGTCACTGTGGGGGAAGCCCGAAGTCAGAGTCCCTGCCCCTGGCTTGTTTTCTGAGAAGGGGGTGAGGGCTACAGGGGTTTGGGAAGCCTGCCTGGGGGGAGGGGCTGCTGGAGATCACGCTGCAGGGACAGACTGGGGACTCTGCAGGGGTGGACACTGGTCCTGACTGTTGGGAGGGGTGGCAGGCCCGGGTGTGGGCACCCGCTGAGGTGGGACCAGGGCAGGTGTGAGTGAGGTGAGAAATGGGCAGGACCTTCATCTCCACAGCCTGGATGCAGAGGTGAAGTTCTGGGCCATGGGCAGCCAGGGGTGTCTGTGGAAAGGGGCTGAGATGATGCAGGGAGACAGGACCCTGGGAAGCAGGAAGCTGGGGAAGTGTGGGGTGTGCTGCCTGCGAGTGCTGGGGTTCCCAAGAAGAAAATCTCCAACCGGCCACCATGTCAGCAAACCAGCAAGAGGTCCAGCAGTGCAAAGACTCTCCCCACCTGAACACAGCAGAGTCCCCGACCTCACTACTGCAGAGTCCCCGACCTCACTACTGCAGAGGGGCTGTGGGGCAGCGCTCCTGGGAGGGTGCAGGGGCGGCGAGGAGGTGGGGGCAGATTTAGACCACGGCAGGGGCTGGGGCACTCTCGTGAGTAAGAGAGCTTCTTCTCCGGGAAGGCTCCAAGCACCTCTCCGCAAAGCAGCCTGGTTGGCCCAGGTACAACCCAGGGCAGTGAGGCCCAGAGCGTGGTCCGCCCTGCCCCGGAGCCGCAGCAACTCCGCAGACCCAAGGCCCAGTGGGAAGGGATGGTGTAGGCCTGAGAGTGTGAGTACACGGACCAGCAGCCTAGCTGAGTGTCCTCCCTTGGTCACTCGCTCGGGCCACGTTCACGGTCCCCAAACGGCAGCCTGCACAGCCCAGCTCCGGCATGCTCCAAGCCCCTCCCCAGGACAGCCCGGCCTGCTCGACTCGTGTCCGCAGCCCACCCACCCTGCTCCCGCTCCTTCCTCACCCCACACCTCATCTGCGGGAGGCCCCAGTCCTTGGTCCAACTCTCAGCCTCGCACCCTGGGGGACCCCAAACGCCCACCTCCAGGGAGGCTCTGGGGTCCAGGTGCATGAGTCCACGCCCCCACCTAACCTCCCTCATCTCTAAATCTGCACACCCAGCACTCCTGACGCCTTCTCCTCCAAAACCCACCAATCCCACATCCTGCAGCAAATCCAGCGACATCCCGACCCCCCCCACAGGGCTCACTAGCTTGGACGGGACGGGGGCCCCAGTGCAGCCCATCTGGACCCACCAGTCTATTCTCGCCAGCAGCCCAGCTCTGCCCAGAGCCCCGTACATCTCAGAGGCACCGCCAGACCGTGCGCCCTCCCCAGAGCTCAGCTGCCGACCCCTCCCCAGCTCTCTGAGACCAGGCCTGTCCCAGCATGCCCCTTTCCCCACTCCCCCTACACGAGGAGCCCACATCCCCCCCAACCTGTGCAGTGGCTGTTCCCTCCGCCCACGCTCTCCTCCGGGCTATCTCCAGGATCCTGTGCAAGCTGGAACTGCGCCCCGGATTTCGTCCCGGTCCCTGCCAGCCGCAGCACACCTCACCACTCCCTTGTCCATCCCTCCGGCACCAGAGCTCCACACACAGGAGCTTGACTATTGGGTGCCCCAGAGTCCGGCCCGCCTGAGCTGAAGGGTGAATGAGTACATGTGGCTTCTGTAAAGTGACTCTGCGACCCAGGAACACACGGCCAACCTGTCCACCCTGGGTCCCGAGATGGGGCAGCCCCAGAGATCGGAGTTCCCCTGAGGCCAGGACCCCACCTCTAAGGGGCTGGTCAGCTGTCCCCTGTGGCTGAGCACAGCAGACACTGGACCCCATGTGGCAGGGAAGGACTGCAGGCCCGGTGTGGGGTCCTGGGCACCCTCCTCCCACCTCCCACAGGACAGAGGGAGCTGCGGCTTGGGCCCCTTCACAGCCGAGGAAGGGGTTTGCCTGTCCACCTCCTGGGCCCTCACAGTGTCCAGCTGGAGATCAGGGAGGGAGGTGCCACGAGACAAGACTGGAACCTCAGCCCCACGCACTCAGGACGCAGCCTGGAGCCCATTCAGGACAGCGGGTGTGGGACGCAGCCTCGGCCAGCTCCTCACCCACAGCCCTGCTCAGGGGTAGGGGCAGAGGTTTCTGGCTAGGCCCCTCTGCTGCACCAAGCAGCTGCTGGGGAGTAAGGGGGACCACCTGTGCTCACATCCCACCCCCACCCCAGATCACACCTGCCGTCTGCCTGTGAGGACAGCCAGGGAGGGTCCAGGCCCCACGTGGCCGCCCATGCTGGCCATTCTGGCTGACATGGATGGTCCCAGGGGAGGAGGGTCCCTGCCCAGAGGCCTGAGGAGCTTCCCAGGAGGAGCTGCTGATGCACCACCCCTGGGACGGAGGGGGGGCGGGGGAGGGGGGCCGGAGTGGGAGGAGACTTGCTCCCTCTGCCCAGCCCTGCTCAGCCTCTGGGCTGGCTCCCTGAGCTCTTCTCCAGTGAGGAGGGAGCGACGGCTGAGGTGAGCTTCCCATTTGCCACCCAGCTACCCTTTAGAAACACAGCAGTGACCTGCTGGTGGGCGGTGTGGGCTCCGGGGCTGCAGGGGTTCTTCCCATGCAGAGGGGATGTTCCTCGCAGCCGCAGACTGGCTGATCCCTGGTACTTTCCCCCAAAACCTGACTCCTGCTCCTGTGAAGTGAGGGTGGGAGAGGAGCCCCTGTTTGTCCAGACCACCACTGCCGTCTCAGCCTGGAGGGCTCCTTACTGGTGAGGAGGGGTCTTTGCAGCCGGTGTTATCCCATCTTGTGTCTTCCAAGCTCTGCCCAGAACCGAGGTGGTCCCAGGGTGTGTGGCAGCCCTGGGAGGGAGAGATCCAGGGGGCCCGTGGTCAGCCTCCGTCCACTGTCGTGCTGAGCCCCCTCTCAGCACTCGGGACCAGCTAGTGACCTGCATTGGCTAAGTCCCTGCCCAGAGCAGCACTGCGGCCTCAGGAAAGCCAGAGAAGAGCGCTGAGACCTTGCCCTCCCTCGGTGAGGAGTCAGGCTTGGGGGCTGAGAGCAGAGGGCGGGGCCGGGCTCAGGCTCAAGCCAGATCTGCCACCTAAAACTGGCATCTCTGCCCGGTGAGAGCTGAGGGGTGCGCGTGTCTGCTGTGTCTGCGTGTGCCTGTGGGAGCCTCTGTTCCTGAGTGCGCCTGTGTGTGCCCACGCATGGGATGAGGGCAGCAAGCTTGTCTGAACACCTCTGTGAGGGGCAGGGCGTCTGGGCTTGGGGTTGAACCCTGTGTCAGAGCCGTTATTCCGTGTTTCTGTGGCAGAGGGTGTGGGTCCTGAGCCTCAGGCGGGAGGCTTGGCATCTGTCTCCTGGGCAGGGCGGCATGTGGTGGGGCACCTGTGTCTGTCCGAGGCCTGGGTGCCCATGTCTGTGCCAGGTCGAGGTCTGCTGGGGGCACTCTGGTTCGCAGGTGTCTGTCTGCCTGGCAGGAACCTGGTGTCTGTGTGGGTCACTGCATTAGGGGCTGTGGGTCTGGGTGTGGAGGTTGCTGTGGCTTTGACTCAGACACCTGCGTGCCCCGAGTGCATCTGAGTTTGGGGGAGGGAACGTGGGACTTCTCCCAGGTAACATCTGGGGGGCACAGGCATTGGAGCATCACAGGGAAGCCTGGGGACTTGCCATTTGTCTCCTCGTGTCTGTGGGACTCAGGGCTCCTGAGGAAACGCTGTTCTCCCACCCCTGCAGCCAAGGTGACACTTTTGTTCTGTCTTTGCCCCGGACAAGGGCAGACATTGTTCCAACTCTAATCAGTGGCAGATCTGAGCAGAGAGTCCTGGGGTCACCAGGAGCCATAGTGGAGGAGAGATAGAGGGACCCAGGGGTGGTATTACCCCAGACCCCACTACAGGAGGCCGACCCCACCAAGGTTCCTCACCGCACCCCCCAGGGCCACCAAGCGCCCCTGAGTGAGCATAGCAGGTGTGCAGGCTTCCCACAGCCCTCAGAGCCAGTGCGTCCCACCCCTCCTGCTGGCTGCTGAGACCGGGACAGCCCAGCAAAGGTCCTGCCATGCCCCACGGGACAACTGAGGGGTCAGAGGCGGAGAGGGCAGATGACCTGTCCCAGGCGCAGGAGGCTGGGGAGGGTGGGGTTTGAACCTGAGCTGCCCGTCCCAGAGCCCGTGCCCTGGAGCTCCGGGCTCCGCTGCCTCTCACAATCTTTGCAGGAAGAAAACCATGGGAAACTGCAGGCTTCGAGCAGGTCCTGGGCAGCACGTGGGGAGAGAGGACGGGGGGCCCGTGGCCACTCAAGGGCAGAGGCTGGGACGAGTCCTGGGAGTTCTGGGGTTCTGGGAGGAGGCAGGAACTGAGAAGGGGACATGAACTGGGGCCTGGGGACAGGGACAGCCACCCTGCCGGGTTCTGGGCTCAAGGGCCTCTCCAAAAAGGGGCAGGGGTCAGGGGGCCAGGGTAGCCATGCCCTGGGGCATCCACTCCGTCCGGGAAGGAGGGCCACCTGCCACACCCCACTCAGCCCCAAGCTTGGGAGGAGGCCTCAGGGGACAAGGCCTGGTGTGGAGGGTGCCCTCTGAGGGCTCAGAGCAGCGAGATGCCCAACAGAGCCTGAACAAGGGTCTAGGGGTTCTGTCCTCCAAACCCCTTCTCTCATGCATCAGCCCCTGTTTAGCCAGCGGCTACTTCGCATCAGGTGTGCGGGTCCCCTCGGCCATGTCCTGAGGCACTCAGTGAGCAGGGAAGAGCCCAAACCCCAGCCACAGTACACGCAAGCACGTTGGGTTTTAGATGGGTTTTTGGAGATCTGGCAGCACAGCCTGTGACCTATGGGAACGATCCTGGAACGGAGAGCACAGGCTGATGTGGGGCACAGTGCAGGGGGACCCTGGACAGGACTCGGCCACACTTTGGGGAGCCTCTGAGCCAGCAAACCCGTGGGTGCACAGGACGGGGGAGACCCACCACGGTAGGGCAGGGGTGAAGAAGTTACTTCTGTTTTGAGGATCCGGCCCTTTCAGTCCTGTGAGAACAGCTCCTTGGAGCCACGAGGAAGCTGCCCACAGTCCTGCCCTCTCGATCCCTCGGCCACCACAGCCAGGGCTGGAACCAGGGGTGGGGGCACAGGAAGTCTGGGCCCAAGAACCTCCCTGCAGGCTGTGGCTGCATCTGCGTGGCCTGGGCAGAACCACACAGGAGCTGCCCAAGGGGTGAGGCGGCGGAGGGCCAGACCCCCAGGCCCGTGCGGAGGCGGCGGCTTCTGGGAGTGTCAGGAAGCACGTAGCTCGCCCGGCTGGGGTGTCCAGGGGACCCGGGGTGGCCTCCTGCATCCCTCCAACTGCGTGGGGTGCTCCTGGGGAGCAGGCGTCCCATGAGTGGCCGGGATCTGCGACACGAGCCCATGGATGTCCTCCTCAGCAGTCCTGGGGCACACAGAGTAGGACGGCCCCTCCACCCACACCCCGCCCGCCCGCCAACTCTGACCGGCTGCCTCTGCCGGCAGGCGGCGTACACCATGCCCACCGGGGACAACCACTCCGAGGTGACAGAGTTCATCCTCGTGGGCTTCCAGGGCTCGCTGGGCGTCCACGTGTGCCTGCTGCTGCTGTTCACGCTGGCCTACGCGCTGACGGTCACGGAGAACGTCGTCATCGTGGCCGTGATCCGCGTCAGCCCCCCGCTGCACAAGCCCATGTACGTCTTCCTCAGCAACCTGTCCTTCCTGGAGGTGTGGTACGTGTCCGTCACCGTGCCCAAGATGCTGCTCAGCCTGGCCGCGCCCCGCTTCCGCCGCATCTCCTTCGCGGGCTGCATGGCGCAGCTGTACTTCTTCCTGGCGCTGGCCTGCACCGAGTGCACGCTGCTGGGCGTCATGGCCTACGACCGCTACGTGGCCATCTGCCGCCCCCTGCACTACCCCACGGTCATGAGCCCCAGCCTCTGCCGAGTGCTGGCCGCTGGCTCCTGGCTCTCCGGCTTCGCCATCTCCCTAGGGAAGGTCTTCTTCATCTCACGCCTGGGCTACTGCGGCCCCAACGTCATGAACCACTTCTTCTGCGACGTGTCCCCCCTGCTGAACCTGGCGTGCTCCGACATGTCGGCGGCCGAGCTGGTGGACTTCCTCCTGGCGCTGCTTATCCTGCTGGGGCCGCTGCTGCTCACCGTGTTCTCGTACGCCGCCATCCTGGGCACCGTGTTGCGCATCCCGTCCACCACTGGCCGGCACAAGGCCTTCTCCACCTGCGCCTCGCACCTGGCTGTGGTGGTCATCTTCTACTCCGCCTCCCTCTTCATCTACGCCCGGCCGCGCGCCCTCTACTCCTTCGACCTCAACAAGCTGGTGTCCGTGGTCTACACGGTGCTCACGCCACTGTTCAACCCCATCATCTACTGTCTGAGGAACCGGGAGGTCAAGGAGGCCCTAAGCAAGGCGGCCCAGAGGGCAGCCCAGGCCCTGGGGGTCCCATCCTAGGAGCCTCCCCAGGACCCTGGTTCCCGCGGACCTGCTCTAGGCCTCTGTGTCCCCTGAGTGGCCACAGGGCGAGGAGCTGAAGGCAGAGTCCTTGCTGTCCCCGTCCCTCGTCATGACCTGCTCAGGACGCCAGCCAGGATGAGCACCCCAACCTGGGTCACCCCCAGCGAGCCAGTGCCCGGAACAGGCACCTGTATGGAGCCCTCGCTGCACACCCCAGTTGCCTCACAAGGTCTCATCCTGGGGTGCTTTGCACGTGCTGCCCATGGCGGCCAGGAACCCCCATTCCAGGCGGGACCCCCTCTGTCTCCCAACCCAGGGTAGAAATGGAGTGGCCAGGTTGCAGGCCTGGGCCTGCCTCTTGGCCGAGGCCCCAGGCAGTCCCCACCAGGTGCTCCTCCTCTGGGCGGGCCCCCAGGCCGGGTCAGCCACAGCACCAGACCCCTGCGCAGTCCCAGGGAGAGGGTGTGAAGGAAGAGGGGCGGGTGTGCCCCAGCTGGGACACAGAACCTTCTGACGCCATGGCACCAGTGATCTCAGGAGAGCTCCTCGAGGGAGATCTCGGTCCTGCCCTCCCTGGTCAGCCAGGCCCGTGCTGGACCCGCAGCCAGTCTCCCCTTGGTGACGGTGTGCATGTGGGAGCTGTGGCCGCGATAGCCATCAGGGACCGCGCACAGCAGGGCCCAAGCGGATCCCATGCCACGTCCACAGAGCAGGGAGGCCACATTCGGGCAGACGGCTGGAGGAGATGGGTCTCTGGTGGGACCACCACCAGTGCTGGGTCTGCGTGGAACAGGGCTGCGTCTCGGGGCCCACACCTCACTTCCAGGCCTGGCCTTGTTCACTCCACCTGCTCCCGACAGAGAGCAAGCTGGTCACGGGACACTGGCAGGAGGTGCGGGGCGTAGGCGGGCAGGGCTCCACCTCCCAGAGCCTTAGCCGCTCTCCTGAGATCACTGGTGCCAGGGCGTCAGAAGGCGCTGCGTCCCAGCGGGGGCACGACTGTGACAGACCATGGGGTTTCCGCCGTGGCTCCTAGAGTCACGAGGCGCCTGCCTATGCTGCAAAGGCAGCCTGTGCCGGTCTGTGATCTCGTGGCGCCCCGGTGGGATTTCAGGTGATAACTGCCAACCATGCCGGCAAGTTGGAGCGATCTAGAATGCTCGTCTCGTGAGATGGACGAGGGGGTTTGAGCTGCTGTCTCTGGGCCACAGAAACACACCGGACCCTGAGCGTCGAGGCTTCTTGTCCCACGTGCTCACACTGGGCTCGGTGCCACCAGGCGCAGGGGACAAATCCCCACGTAGCCCCGTGGGCCAGGCCTGTGGGCAGGACAAGCAAGGGAGGTCCTGCCGCCCCGTCCACTGGCGGAGCTGTCCCTGCGTCCCTACCTAGCCTCTTGGCACAGACGCCACCGCCATGGTAGCCAATAGGATGGAGCAAGCGTCCGACGCACAGTGCCCGTAAGCCCGATACCTCAAGCTCCTCCCTCTTTCAAGATTTATTTATTTATTTGACAGAGAGAGATCCCAAGTAGGCAGAGAGGCAGGCGGAGAGAGAGAGGAGGAAGCAGGCCCGACTCGGGGCTGGATCCCAGGACTCTGGGATCATGACCTGAGCCGGAGACAGAGGCTTACTTAACCCACTGAGCCCCCCAGGTGCTCCAACCCCGCCCTCTTTCACAACAGATGTAGTTCCACATCAAATTTCTGCAAAGTGATCGCTCTAAAAACTAGGCTGAAAAGACCACGGCTCACCGGTCCGACAGTACAGCAAGCTCGGAGCGCCAGCCTCTCGCTCGGTCCTGCAGAGACCAGCTGCACCGGGGAGCTCACAGCCTGGCTAGTCCCCCAGAAGCAACAGATGCAGCTCGGGTCAGGGCCAGACACACAGCAGGGCCCCCAAGGCCAGGGAGACACAATCTGCTCCAGGTGGGGCCTGGGTGCTGCGCAGGGATGAGGCCGTGAGGGAGCCCGCGAATGTGGAGTAACGCCCTACAGGGAGCAGCAAGGTCGGGAGACAAGGCAAGTCCGCAAGCCAGGAGGAGCTGAGATGCAGGGCCCCTGGCAGGGCACACAAGGGGCTGCCCCTCATCCTCCTGCCGCGGCCGAGCACTTGAAACAAAGCGGAGACGCGCTCTGGTCTTCACATTGGAGCAGAACTCCACAGCCAGGCCAGAGGGAGAGCCCACCCCGAGCACAGGGGGAGAAGCGGAGACTGGGGCTGTTGGAGGAGAGGGGCACCGGCATACGCAGCCCAGTCAGGCGACTAATTAGTGCTGGGAGACTGAAAACTAGGGGTCAGGGACAAGGCCCCAGCGTTGGTGGGGGGTGCCCCAAACTGAAGACAGAAGCCCCAGTGCAGAGACGAGAAGGGCAGCCGGCAAGGGCCTGATGGGGGACCTCGTGGGCTCTTGGACTTGGGGCCCCATAAAATCATAATTTGAGTTTTTAGAAGATTGCTCTAACTTTGGGATGTTCTAACGGGATTTGGCCTCGTTCTAAGGTGGGATACGGAGCACAGTGTGGGAGCAGGAGTCCAGGGATGAGGGAGCCAGGGCAGAGGCCCAAGCAAGAGGCTGGGGCACCTCGGACACGGCGCAGTTGGCCGGTGTGCGAGGCTGCAGAGCTGCCCCGAAGGTGGGGCCAAGCTCCGTGAGGCACTGAGCCTGGAGGTCCACTATCCACCCACCCAGATGGGCAGGTCTGGGGAGCAGGACCCCTGCTGGGACCACCCTGGTCTCCCACCCCCTGCCCCCTCACTTGACCCTGCCATCAAACCCCTATTGTCCATAGGCAAAATTCCCAAATCCTTACTGGGACCCTGTGACCCAGCCTTCATTAACACCTCCTGGGGTCCTGCCCACACTGCCTCCCATCTCTCCAGATTGCCAGGCATCCCCATCTGCTCCCGTCAGGCACCAGCCCCCATCAGGGACACTGAAGGAGACAGTCCCCTCTGCCCTGGCCCCTCTCGCAAGCGTGTCTCCAGGTGGGGCTTGCACAGAAGGACACCCACAACCTCCCAGGGCGTTCACCTGTGTCTGTCCATCCATCGCATTCACATATTCCAGGCACACACTCCCGGGGGCCACTGAAGCCTCCTGCGGACCCAGGCTCACCACTCTGCCCACGTGCACCCTGGTGCAGGGACAGAGCAGCAGGTAAAAACGGTAGCCCTGGCACTGGGGGGTGGGCCATGGGAGTGGGCCCCCTGCATCCGCTGGGAGCATCCCGCCGGGCCCTCCCTCCTCTGGGCCAGCGTGGCCCAAACTCTCTGCCCCATCTGATGCTCCATGTGTGCTGTTTTCTCGGACTTTGGAAGGTGTGTATTTCCAGTGGCTACTCCTTTCTTTTGCACAGTGTGAAGTTGGGGGCAGCAGAGAAGGAAGCGGCCGCTACTCCTGCGTGAGCCTCGGGAGGCCAGTCTCCCTAGGCCTGCGGTGCTGAGCCAGCCCTGCCCCCTGCCCCAGAGCCCCCAGGGACAGGAGGACCCACCAGCAGATGAGGAGTCGGAGCTTCTGTGGCCCGGGACACCTTGACACCAGGGATCCCACCGACCACCCCACGCCCTCTCCGAGGCCTCCTCTGTCTCCCTGCCCCAGCCCCCTGTCAGGGTCCAGTTTTTGGTTAAAGATGGTCAGTTGCGCACCACATGGTCCCTCCTTATCCCACCAGAATGACAGTAAAGGAACCCACAGGATAAGAACAGTGACAGAGGGGACAGAAGCAACAAAGCCCCAGAAACTGGATAAATGGCGCGGTCTGGCCAGAGCTGAGAGGACTAAAGTGCAAAGCCCAGAAGGAAGGGATCTGCCTCTCGGATACCGCTGAGACCCCTCACTCGCGGCAGACTGGGTGAGCAGAGAGGAAACTCATGGCGCCTACAGTAAACCTTATTATTCAAAAACCAACTTGTGTCCATATATCAGCAACAAACACTAGGAAGTTGAAGTAGTTTCCAAATACCATTTCCAGTATGACGGGAATGGAAGAGGGCATGTGATATGATGAGCACTGGGTGTTATTTTCAACTAATGAATCATTGAACATTATATCTAAAACTAACAATGTACTATACCTTGGCTAATTAAATTTAAATTAAAAAATAGAATAGCTAAGGGTAAATCTTACAAAAATGTGCAAGAACTATACGCTCAAAACTACAAAATATTGCTGAGAACATTAAAGAAATGGGATGTAAACCACATTCATTGGCTGAAACACTCCATTTTTTTAATCCTCCCCAAACTGATCTATACATTCAATGTGATCTCAGTCGGAACCTGAGCAGGTTTCTCTTAGGAACCACCAAACTGATCCTAACAACCTAGAATTTTCACAACAACTTGAAAAAGAGCCACAGATTTAGAAAACTAACACTGTCTGATTTCAGGTTTTATTATAAAGCTACCGTGACAAGACAGCACCATACTGGCCTCAAGAGAGACAAACAGGTCAGCAGATCAGAGTAGAGAGACTACAGAAATGGAGCCCCACATAGAAAGACAACTGATTTTTGATAAAAGCACAAAGGCAATTTAGTAAACAGAATAGTATGTTCAACAAACAGGGCTGGAAAAATGAGATATCTTGTTTCCCCCAAATAGGCTTTGATCCCTAACTCACAGCATACATACTCATAGACCTAACTATAACCTAAAACTCCCAGAGGAAAACATCTGTGGAAATCTTTTTTACCTTGGGTTGGGCAAAAATTCTTAGATATAAAAGCAAAACCAAAATCCATAGAAGAAAAAAAAATCATCAGCTGAACTTCAATAGAATTTAAGTCTCCTGCTCTTCAGGAGACATAGTTAAAACAATGAAAATACAAGCCACACCTGAGAGAAGATATTTCCAAATCACGTGTCTTGGCGGGAATGTAAATGGCAGAGCCACTTTGGAGAACTAGATGGGAACTTCCTGAAACAGTGGACTCAAACCCACCATACAATCCCCATCGCACAGGTATTTACCCAAAAGAAATGAAAGTCTTTC